ATTTTATCCTCCAAGAATGTGAGAAAAAGCCATGATTCTTGGCAAGTAAACCTGGTTTTCTTTTTTGCTCTATTTAATCTAATAGATTGTATTTAGATGTGTAGAATAAAGAAGAGGAATTTTGACTTGAATGAGGCAGTGGAATTATTGAAAAAATTGTGGGTCGAAAATCCTCTACATCCTTTGGTAATCCCGATTTTGTTTCTTTTTTAGGCAATTTTGAAGTGGTTCTCTTCTTGTTTTGTATATATTGCTTTTGTTTTATTGTTCTATAGTTTTATTTCGTTCTATTGGCTCATTTAATTTTTCATCCTGCTTAGTTTTAAGATAGAAGAAACCATTGATTCATCAGTTACACGATACTACAAGTTTGGCCATATTATATTTGCTAATTGATGACTCCCATTAGTTCATATAATCAAAACATACATGTGAAGACCTTGTAAATCAATATCTGCATCTTCTTCTTGAAGTTGTTGGAGCAAAGCTCCTTTGAAAGTTTGAAATCTCACTTTCAGTTTAATTTTCACTTACAGGAGCTCCCCTTAAAGAAATAAATAAAAGAAATATATATATATTTTTTTTTTACAAAAGAACTTGTATACAAATGAATAATATAGAAACTATTTTTGAATCCTGATGATCTAGACTGTTTGCATTCAGTAGTTGCGCAATCCCAAAAATATTGTACAAGAAATGAACGCACACTATTTTTCATTAAAAAATGTTCCCTTTTTGTTCTCGAAAGTGTAAATGATTAGCATGAATTTAAATCTCATTATAAAGTTTTAAATGGAAATCAAATGAAAGATTATTTTGTTTAATCAAATTCAATATTCATTTCTATGTGGTTCCTGGCTTCTAATTCTTAATGTGAGGTAGTTGCTTTGGAAAAACCTTTTTTAACACCTTCGTTATGCTACAATTTCATTTCGGTACACCTGATTTCAATAAGAACGGGTTTGTTTTTAATTTGGTTTTTATTTGTATACATGCATGTTCTTTTTTTAGGCACGTCTTCTTTTACTGTTCATGTTGAAGATGTCGATGTATTTATATAGATAGAGATATAATTAAAATTGAGAACTGGTTCCTCTCAGGCATGTTATGAAATAAAGTGATTTTTTAACGTACATATAGTTGATGTCATTTCCACTAGATCTTCTTTTAAGTTGGAAACTCTCAAATTAGAGACAGTGCTTTCATTTCTTGGTCTATCTAACCATGCTACCAGAATAAAGAATAATAGTTAAACTATAGATGGATAATGTATAACCAATTGTTTAAATTTTGGACTTGCAGAGAATGGAGAAGGCAGATTCAAGCAGAAGATCATCAATGAACCAACTGAATTCCCTTCCTGTCCATTCTTGCAAAGGATGTTGAGAATCTTGCAATGAAAGAAAATGACATATTCAGTCCTATCTTGAGGAGATGACACCCTTTTGCTGCAGGTGTTGCTGTTGCCACACTGCATGCTATAGGAATAAGCTGAAGCAATTTATTGCAGGTATAACAGAGTTGACACCAGATGCTGTACAAATACTGAGAGCTAATGATAAGTTGGAAAAAGATCTTGTCAATATTGCTGTTGAAGATTCAATAGATAGTGATCATGGTGGGAAGGCCATCATTCGTGAGATGCCTCCTTATGAAGCTGAAGGTGCAATAGCCCACATGTTTGAAGTTTGGATAAAGACAAGAATAGAAAGGCTGAAGGAATGGGTTGAAAGAACTCTTCAACAAGACACACAGTGAGCATTTTGCCTGAAATTACAATCAACTTTAACGAAGTGAATTTATGTTTTCAAATATGTTTAGATGGTTTAATTTATATCTATTTACAGGAAGTAAAATTACTTATTTTGAAGCCATTCCATTCAAGCAGAAGAAGGGGTCTTTCTCCCAAGAAACACGGAAAGAATAATAAGCGATGCTATCAACCAAGTGAGAGAATAACAAGTTTCCAGGCATTAATCTATACGTACATCGAGGTATTGATGGTGAAGTAATTGAATATCTGTCTCAGAAATACCTCGAACTTGTTTGCCATTTCCATGAAGGATGTAATTGACACTAACTTGATTGATCAATCGACTATAACCATCTTGAAGCATTCGTATATATTACTTTTCATTTGCACCAAATACATTTTTAATTGAAGCTGTTATTATTAGAATACTAATTTTTCAGGTCAATCCATACAATTATACAAACATTAAAGTGGAAAAATAATTTCAAATCACTCCACACTATTAAATACCTAACTAAACTACAGCACATGCATCGCACATGCGTACACTAGTATATGGAAGAAATATGAAGGCGTGCTAATGCATGTAGCAACTACCAATAAGGTCGAGTGAGCAAGTGAACAGTATCATTATGCTCCACATGGTGCGACACGTGATGAAGGTGAACATGCACGTAGGTAACTTTGGCGATCGAACAATCTCTTTACTGTAATTCGTTTAATATTAAAAACCTATTACAATACGAAAATGTGGACATGTAATAGCACTCGGCACTCCTGTACATTTACTAGTACACTGTTCTACATACTCCCAGAAATAGCACTCCTGAGTCCTGTTCAACAAGAGTTTTCTCACTCAATTCTCTTAGCATTTTCTCTAACTGAAACATTACCATGAACCTAAGTCCTAAATACACAATCTAGTACACATTTGGCTGTCCTAATCGTCATTCATTGTCTTCTCTGTTCTTTCAACAGTTCCGGGTATCACACAAGGCTGACCAAACTGTTATCACTTTCATCCATTAATTTCTTTGAATTGGACTTGTAACTCAAAATATACTTGTCTTTTCCAAGGAGGGGAGCCACATCATGATCTTTTCCCTCCATTTTCCCTCCAAAATCGTCAAAAGGTTTGCATCGATGAAGAATATGCAAAGCCTCTTTCATGGAAGGCCTATTATAAGGTGACGAACAGGTGCACTTGAGCCCCAACTTGAAAACAGTTATCATTTCTTCCAAGTAGCATGGTTCTTTAATCTCTTTGTCTAGGGCATCAACTATTGGTTTTTCTTCTGCGTAACGCTTCCATGCCCATTCTGCAAGGCTTGTATGCTCTTCCCCAGAGTTCGGTTCTCGTCCAGTCACCAGTTCTAAAAGCACGACCCCAAAACTATAAACATCGATTTTCTCGTCCACTTTAGAAGTGTAAGCATACTCTGCAGTTAGAAGGAACATAGTTAGCTATTTGGTCTAAAAGAGCACGATATGCAGAGGTATATGATAAGTGCAAATTATTAGAAATACTTTTTTAGTATTGTGCAGTATGGTGAATCTTCCCTACTAAACATGCTACAATTGTGTGGTGAACTATTCTTACCCGGGGCGATATAACCGAAGGAGCCAGCAACAGCAGACATGGTATTAGGTTCCCCTTTCTTGATCATAATCTTGGCAAGGCCAAAATCGGCAATTTTTGCCTTGAAATTCGCATCCAACAAAATGTTGCTCGATTTCACATCACGATGAATGATTGGCGGAGTGCAATCGTGATGCATATAGCAAAGCCCTTGTGCTGTTCCAATGGCTATGCTTAACCTTGCTGGCCAATCCAAAACAATATCGTGAACCAAACTCATCGGACTTAAAGCTTTCCTCCTCTTCCCATGGAGCCATCTATCAAGACTCTGGTTTTCCATGTACTCATATACAAGAAGCTTTGAATCATCACTAGAAATACAACACAGAAGTTTCACTATATTGGAATGACGCACCGAACCAAGTATTTCAATCTCAGCAAGGAACTCTTTCTCAAGATTATAATCTAGCTTACGTTCACTCCAAATCCTCTTTACAGCAACATACTGACCTTCATGATCAACGGCAATTTTGTACACCTTACCTGAGCCACCACTCCCAATCATATTACTCTCTGTCAAACTCGACAAAATATTTACTTCGGTGAAATCCAGCCTCTGGAACGAGGTCAATTTCCAAGTAGCAAGATCCTGTCTAAGCTTCTTCCTCCTGTAGTCTCTTACCATGAATAAAGTCACCAAAATGGTAACTATAAAAAGACTAACTGCAAGGACTAAAACCACAGAGAGAATCGTCGGTGACAATTTCTTGGTGTCCTGGAATTTGGCATTACATTTGGGAAGATTTGAGATAGAATTGGTGGCACAAAGTCTAGGATTGTTCAAGAAACTACTTCCATAGGCCATGTTATTGAATTCGTCTGGTATTTTCCCTATGAGTTGGTTTGAAGATAAGTTAAGAGAAGTAAGCTTCAAATGGCCTAATTCTGATGGGATTTCACCTGAAAAATGATTCTGCGACAAGTCTAGATCAAGAAGATCGGGTAACGAACCTAAGACGGGGGGGATTGGACCAGAGAGTTTATTCCGGGCAAGATTTAATGCAGTAAGAGATTTCCAGGATATAACTTTGGATGGAAGTGCACCAGAAAGTGAATTTCCATCAAGTTTTAGAGTGATAAGCTTATGAAGGCTAGTAAGCTCCACAGGAAATAGCCCTGAAAACGTATTGTTACTAGCCTTGAACACAATCAGACTTGACCAAAATGAAATTCCAGCAGGAATTTGACCGGAAAATTTGTTGTTATCGATCTCCAATCGGGTAAAATTCCACCCTACTCGATCTGGGAGCAGACCAGAGAAAGAGTTATCACTCAGCATCAAGCTAGTCATGTTCCTTACAGTCCAAAGGCCTGATGGAACCTCACCGGAAAAATTATTTCCATAGAGTTGCACTGAGCGTAAAGTCTGGCAATTTTCAAGTGATTTTGGAATCTCTCCGGTTAAATTATTGTTAAAAGCAACTACTCCGAACAAAGTTCCCCCGGCGCACAAATTCTCCGGCAACTTTGCGGTGAATTGATTATCAGAAACTTCAAATGCTTCGAGCTTCGAGTGAAGGCCCATTTCAAGGGGCAAACTTCCACTCAATTTATTCTTGAAAACCCGGAAATTCTTCAAGCTTGGGATTAGGCCTATGCTTTGTGGGATCTCTCCATACAAGTGATTTGAATACAGATTCAGGAGCTTCAACTTTTTCAACTTCCCAAAATCTTCTGGAATTGTTCCATTCAAGTTGTTCATCGCAAGATCAATCTCAATCAGATTTAATGATTCTATCGGTGATGGAATTGGACCGGAGAACTGGTTCTTATACAAGTAAACATTACTCAAATTCTTTAGCAAGAACAGCCCACTTGGAATTTCCCCATGCATATCATTTAATGATAAATCCAAATGCTCTAGGCTGAAAAAATTGGCAAAACTTGCCGGAATTTCGCCAATCAAATTAGCCCTTGCACACCAAATATACTTGATTTTCGTCATTTTCCCGAACTCCGGCGGTATGGCAGACGGCAAGAAGTCATTATAAGCCATTCCCAGATTCTCAAGGTTCACCAATTTGGTAATCTCTGCCGGAAATGTACCATTGAACAAGTTCATGTACATGTACAAACTTTTCAGCTCTGTCAAGTTTCCGATGGCCGGAGGTACATCGCCGGTAAAGTTGTTGGCGCTGATATCAAGGTACTGGAGCGACGAGAGCTGGTCTATATCAGCTGGAAGGGCGCCGACAAAGAAATTTTGAGAGAGGTCTAAATATTGAAGCTTTGAGCAGTTGAATAATACAGTAGGAAAGTTTCCAGGGATTAAATTGTAGGCAAGTTCGAGGGCAGTGAGATTCTTGAGGTCACAAATAAAACCTGGGATTTCTCCAGTGATATTGTACTCTTTGGCGAAAATTCCGGTAACGTAGCCATCGACGGAGCATTGGATCTCCTGCCAATCGCACGGCGAGGAGGTGGAGTTCCAGGAATTGAGCATTGGTGGATTGCCCCATTTTTGTTTCAGGTTGAGTAGAGTGGCTCTTTCGGCCGGTGAGAATTGTGAATTTACCAAAAAAGGTATGAAGCATACCAGGAAAATGAGAAATGGTAGTTGGATTTTGTGGTAGAGTAAGGGCAGTTCTGTCATTTGAATTGTTTTCCGGTGGCCAAGTGTGGTGGTTTATTATTATGGTGCGGTGGCGGGAGGTGTTTAGGATGACAAGAAGTGTGTGTGAAATCTGAGGCCTGATTTCAATGCTCCAAGCTTAAATATAACCCCAAAAGTATGACGTAAGAGAGAGATGAAGCAAAATATTTATGAAGTAATATCGCATAAAGTAAAATATATTTTATTTTGGCCAACATAAATAGATATATTCGATAAAATAGTTTTCATCCAATTTTCAAAAGAAAAATTTGCACTGTTCACCCTCAACTTAGCATGTGTTTAGCCCCCATTTTTCAACAATTGTGGGCCCCACGTCAGACAACAAGGATGGTTTCCCTAACAACCACTGTGACCACGTGCGTTTAGGGTTGAAGCGCTGTTTTTAAATTATTAACTTTCCATTTTTGCCCTTGCATTGATTGTTTAGTTCATTTCACAAGGAAAAATTGCTACACAAGTATTTTTTTCGATGTCAATAACGTGAAAAATCAGACCATAAGAAGCAAGAGAAAAAAATTCAACCAACAACATCGATAATATTCGATAGAAAATATGCATGCTCCAATACGATTGAACGAAGAAGTGCTCCTCGACATCGAGGTTTTTAGTGAAATTACAAATACATACTACAAACCAAAAAAAAAAAAAAATGTTGCAAAATTACTAATGTAGCACATGTGCCATATAAACGCGTAGTATTTGCCACAGAATGTCTAGCTCGGCGACAATTTCATCTTCTTTATTAGGTAGGTCTATATCAGTTTCGTCGTCATCCACTTCTTCGGCTCTACGAAAACCCTCATCCAACTAACCGTTTCTCCTTGGGAAATTATGTATTCAAATCACGGCCACAACCGCAGTAGTTTGCGTTTCCATATTGTTTCTAGGCATCCGATCAAGAATCTTTCGTGTTTGTTTTAAAACACCAAAACGCTTGATAACGTTACGATACGAGGAGTGATGTAAATCAAACCGTTCGCGTGCATTTCAAAACCGACGGCGTTGTCAAAACCCTTATAGAGAGTCATTTACCCAGTCTTATGTGCGAACCCAGAGTCAACCAGGTAATATTTTTGTTCGTGGATTGCCAAAAATTGACATCCGAACTCTGTACTGCTCGGGCCAATATGCGACGTCGTGTGTATTCCATGTGGTTCTCGACAATAAGAACATGAAACAAAGATTGAAATCGCAAACGACCAAAACTTTCTGTGCTGGAATCCCTTTCCTACCAATTAAGTTTTCTCTTCTATGTCGTGGTAGTACAGCTCTTACATGTGTTCCGTCGATTTCACCGATGCAATCCTAAAATAGGGGATATCACTATGAATTCGAGTGATAGTGAGATGCGCCTTCGTTGTACTTCAGATCTGGTTGTATATTGTTTGTCGAGAACGCTATGCATGCACGAAGAATCGTCCTAAAATAATGATACATGGCCTGCAACGATAGACCATGGGCTGGGGTTCATGCGGGTGTGACGACGTACGGTCGAAGTGATTTGGGCTACCAGTACTATATTGCTGCAACGGAAAATTTGCATAAATGGTAAGCTCAAAATTCATGAAACGAAACACAAAGCATTTGTACATGACCACATCTCAACTCCGTTTGTGGACTAATTCTACCGCATAAACGTACTGCCATGATAAGAAAATTTTGGTTGCAAAAATCATAACATAAAACCACAAGCAGATCACAATTGCCATGGAAGATGGACCAATTCCAACCAGAGAAATACATTACAAGAATATGAAAAATTGGGGCTGAAAATCAGAGATGAAACTGCTTACCATGTGTTCGGGGTAATAGTTCCATTGGGATTCGTCGTTTACCATCTCTAAGGTCTTCACTTTTCTATAGTGGTCGTCGATCTAAAGCCGTGGAATATGAAGTTCTTTGGATTTATATGCAACGAGGTGGAGACAGGAGATGCCGACACGAAGAAGAGGAAGTTTTTGTGGAAATTGCTCTGTTGAAGTGCTACTAGCCGGTGGAAAACCTAACAATGAGGTTCGACTGAGGCGCAGAAGATGAAGGTTATTGACTAGCTTGGCAGAGAGGAAGTGGAGAGAGGCGATGCTGGCACGGAGAAAGGGAATGGCGACGGGGCGTGAAAATGCTGAATGGTTTCAAGTGAAAAAGTCAACAGGGAGGTTCAATTGGGGTTGCGTTCCGTCGATTTCTTTATGTGGAGTATACTAGTTAGAGGAGTGGCACGGTAGATATGAGAATGGATGGGTTAAATATGAGGGCAAAATAGTCATAAAGTCTCAATGGCTTTATCATTTCTATATACATCTTTGATCTTTCACACCTAATTGAGCGGTTGGAAGGTGTTGTCTGCCAAATACTGTAGAAAAATGAGTTGTGGTTAAAAAACTCATTAAAATAGGGGTCAAACGGTAGCTTATTGTCAAGTTGGTCTCTAATTATTTTGAAAAGGATTATGTTGATCTCCAATTCATTTTTTTCCAATTTTTTTTTTTTTTTTGGTGCAAATAACAACATATACTTTATTAATAAAAATTCTCATATGACTTAATTCCAACTCGAAATTTCATTAATCCTGTGATCTTCAATTCTTAGTTATAATTGTAAAATCGGCGTCTAATGACAAAAACCATCCAAATCCATGAAATCAACAATTCATCTCCAACGCCCGTCCAAATGGGTTGGGTTGAGGGCTCAGTTCTCGTTTTCAAGTTTATCTTGTTTGCTATTAATCAAAGTTCGCTTCAATGGCAATCAAGAAAGACAATGGAGTTTTTACTAAACTGTAACTAAATTAGAAGGAAGTTGAAACTTCAATGAGTGAGTTTGAAATAAAAAATGGGTATTAAAATGAAACTTTTCCAAAGTCGAGTGACCTCTAATTTTTTCTACCCCTACATTTCCCCGTCCAATTTTTGCGAAGGTTTACACAGTTTATGCAATTATAGTCATTGTTCCCTATTATTTTCAAAATATATTTCTCTTTATTTTAATCCACATTTTTCTATAAAATAATATTACACGCAAAGGCAAAAATTTTCCTTATTTTTTGAACATACGTTTCCCCATCAATTTACTATTCTAAAATACATTTTCAATAAAAATGGAGCTCAAACAGACTCAAATAAAAGGTTAGGCCCCGTTTGATATGCTAAAATTTCCATGGAATGTGGAATTCAAAATTCCATTTTTTGTCCCATTTGATATGCTAAAATTTCCATGGAATTCTTTTTCCACAAATGCCACACACGTGCACATTTTTCCATGAAATGGTTGAATTGCATTTTCCAGTTTTTTGGTGAGAGAATGGAATTCTANTTCTTTTTTTTTATTTTTTTTTTTTTTTTTGGCAATTTGAACAAATTCTAGACCCAATTGTAAAAAAAATTATCACTTTAATGGGCAATTTTCATGTAAAAAAAAAAGTTAAACGAACACAAAAGGATCCAAAATTATACCAATTAAATACGTTTAATTAACAATTCCCTGGAAAACAAGTTCTAGTCAATTACTTTCTCTGAAATTTATTTTCTTTCCATCCATTTTCCACAACTTACAATCAAAAGGACCCTTAGAGTTTTGATGGAATTGTAAGTATTTAGAAAGAAATTTAAACTTCAACGAAGAGTTTGAAATAACAAAAAGGTAATTAAAATTGAACTTCCCTCAACGCCGAGTGACTTCTAATGATTTCTACCCAAATATTTTCCATCCAATTTTAAAAGAGTGCATATTATTTGGTTAGATATACGAAACAATTGGATACAATTTTGTTTTACATACATTTTAGTTGATATTCTGCTTTTACTATTGATTTTTTTAACACTTACAATAATTAATAACTTCGATTTTGTCACATATTCAAATGTTATTCAAATTGTACATAAATAATGTAAAAGGAGCATAATTGAATTGGATGTAGTTGAGAAATGTATTGAGTGAAGCAAGAAAAGTCATCGGAGAGTTGTGATTTTACACGGCTGAGACTAAAAACCAAAAATTAATTATTTCACGTGGGCCCCCTTCTTGTGCTGAGTCTTAGATTGGGAGTGGAGTTGCACAATACACGCTTCCTTCTAGAAGTGCTTTGACTAATCAACGAAAATAAAGAATTTGTGGAAAATATTAAAGCAAGGAAATTATTCAGTCACAAATTGTCCTCTTTCTACTAAGCCCATGTTTGATGCCATTTTTTGGCAAAAATAAAATTTTGAATAGGGAATTTTGGAGAATACGTGAAAAATATTTTATTATATGAACGTATGATTGAAAATTGATATATAAAGTAAACAAGGGCTAACATTTATGTGCACTATTAAAGCCAAATGGCATACAAATACAATTAAGATTACGAGTGTGGTTGGATTCTCAAAACAATTTCTTATTGAGTAAATAATTTTTTGGACTCCATTAAAAATAGATTTTGAAGAAAAATGTAATTTGAAATGTTGATTTTTCGGAAAATGTGAAGTTACGAAATAAGAAAAAAAATTGAATTTACGTATAATATTATTTTATTTGATAATGTCTGATTGAAAATAAGAAAAAGAAAATTACATTTTTTTTTTTTCTAAAATGGTGCCCAAACAAGGGCAGTTCTACTGGTTTATTGGATATTCTAAATAAAAATCATTTCTATTATTTAAAATATTAAGAATCCGTTTGACATGACTGTTGAGATCAAAAGATTGAGGGTGTGTTCGGTAAATATTAAAATTGGATTAAAATTGAAAAATTAATCGTTATTGTTGACTTTTATTAAACGAATGAGACTCAATAACGATTACATTTTCAATTTTAATTGGATTTTAATCTTTACCAAACAAGAACTAAATATGAAGCACGTATTTGGTTATGTTTGTAAACGTTTGAGTCATTATTATTCATAAATTTCGATGTACCCACAACTATTATTCAATTTCGCTAAAGTATTTTCCCTTTTGTCGGGCGAAGTTGCAAAGCCAAGACAAACAATTGGCATTGGT